AAAAAAAAAAAAAAAAACCAACCTTTTCTCTGCCTTCCTAAAAGTTCATCCTCCGTAAGATAGGGGGGTGGGTCCTCTGCTTCAGGAGAAGACAGCTTCTTTGAAGGAGCAGAAGCACTTCTTAAAAAATGCTGAAAAGTCGGTCCTGTCACTAGCCTGGAGTTGAAATCCTTCGAAACTGCATGCCCCTGCTGCCTTTCTGGACTGGAGCATCCACTGCTGGGAAACCTACTGTGTGCCCTGCAGTTCTTGAGCAGCAACCAGGATACACAGGCCAATGGCCCCCGTCTCAGAGACCCCTGCATGGCACTGACCAGCCCAAAGTCTGCAAAAGAATGATACACATAATCAGCATTGATTGAAGGCTAGGTATAGAATACTGCTCTAAGCTCTTCAAGCACCTGATAAAGTTCATTCACTTAGCTTTCACCAAAAACTACTAAGTGGTGGTGGAGTTGGTTCTGACTCACAGTGACCCTCTTTAAGGTTTCCGAGCAGCAGCTGATGGGTTTGAACCACCAACCTTGTAGTTTCACAGTCCAGTACTTATCCTAAAGTGCCACACCAGGATTTCCATTAAGCAGGTACCCTTAATGGAGTGTACTGGCTCCATAAGATAAGCACTACAAGGTCCACAGTTCAAGCCCAGCAGTCACTTCATGGGAGAAAGATGAGGCTTTCTGCTCCCACAGAGATTTAAAAGCCTTGGAAATCCTATACAGGGTCACTATGAGTCAGAACCAACTCAGCGGAACTTAACAACAACTCAATTAATACATTTGTTATTGTTAAGTGCCTTTGAGTAGTTCCGACTCATAGTAAACCTATCTAGGGTTTCTGAGGAGCAGCTGTTAAGTTTGAACCGCCAACCTTGCAGTTCAAACTGATCTTGTGGCCAAGTGTTTATCTTACAGCGCCACATCAGGACTCCTAGTTAGTACGAGGGGGCTTCAAAAAGTTCATGGGTAAATGGAATTAAAGATAGGGGAATTTCTCCACAAACTTTTTTTTCCCCTCTTCATTTTTTATCACCACCCCCCCAAACTTTTGAAGTTCCCTCATATTATCCCTATTATACAGATAAAGAAACTGAGGCAACTTGCCTAAGATCACACAAAGTTGCTGCAGAGATGAGATGCAAACCCAGGTACAACTGTCTGCTTTCAAAGCAAAGGCACAAGAGAGATGAGACCCAGTCATGAGAGAGTAACACAGGAGCCCGGTGAGGCAGAACCAGCTTAGGGCTCTATAAGTGTATTCATTCAGCGAATCTTCATATCAATCTTCAGCAACCTAGGCAATGGATACTATCAACCCCATTCAGGAAACAACTAAGGTATCCAGCCGGTAAGCAGCACAACTCGAATTCAAATGAAAGCCTGCAAAACCAGAGCCCCTCGCCACTGTGCTACAATGTTTCCTAATCCAGGTGGTCATCGACCTGTGATGTATTCCAGTCACCTCCATGCTATGACCATCTCTTTTTTCCCTTGCTCATCTTACTGTTGTAATATGTACTACAGACAATGTTGCAGTGCATCCTTTACTGATGGGATCGTTCTCATGTCAATCCCCAAAGACAAAAGGTCCAATTTGTAACGATACTGACAATAAAAGGCTCTAATAATGATAACTTTAAAAAAAAAAAAAAAGTATTCAACTTAGGTCAAGGACCACTGGTGGTGCAGTGAGTTAAGTGCTGGACTAAGAGACTGGTCAGCAGTTTGAATTCACCCGCTTTTCATGGGAGAAAGATGAGGTAGCCTGCTTCTATAAATGTTTACAGCCTCAGAAACCGTAAAGAGTAGTTCTACTGTGTTCTGTAGGGTTTTTATGAGTCAATGGCTGTCAGTTAGAGTTATTCAACTCGTGTCAGAATTAATGACTTACGACGCTGAACGGGAACCCAGTCATAAGTTGGGGAATACCTGTACTGCGAGAAGTCCTGGTGTGGCGTTGTGGGTTAATGCACCAGACTGCAAAGCCGTTTCAACTGCAAGGTAGGTGGTTCAAGCTCACTAGCTGCTCCTTGAAAACCCTATACAGGGTCGCTATGGGTCAAAACCGACTTGACAGCACTTCCCAACAACAAAACCTGTACTGCGAAACCCACTTACTGGCTGAGGGCATCTTCCTGTATGTTCCAGTAGAAAGACTAAAATGAGAGACCTGATCGGTAAGTCCTACCACCTTCCAAGACTCTCAATTCCCTTCAAACCCCTTCACAACCAGACCCTTCTCACACATGGCTGGAAGGAACGGGATACACTTTACAGAGAGCAAACTGCCACTTTCTGTCAAAATTACAAATATACAAACCCTTTGACCCATAACAGTTCCACTCCTAGGTATGTCTCCTCCAGTGCTCATATATGTGCAAAAGAACCTATGCATGCAGATATTGAATGCAACAGTGTTTCTAATAGCAAAGAAATGGCAGGAAAAGATCTAAATGTAATCAACAAGGAGCTAGTAGAAAACTCATGGTACACCTATACAATGAAATAAGATGCAACTGTTAGAAAGGGAGGCTGACTTCTCAAATGTATGCATGTGCTCAACGCTGCTACATATAGTATACAGCGCTGGGGTGGGGGGAACAGGAATACTGAGATACGTGTTTGTAAATGCTTAGATTATTTCTAGAATGTATAAGAAACAGTGCTCGCTTCTCAGTAAAGGACCCGCAAGATAAGTCAGGTACACAGACAGGATGGAGACATACTTTTCATCACATCTACTGACAGACCCCACATACAGGGCCTGATTACTTCACACACAGCCATCTTGGTATTGATTTTCACTAACTTCTAAACTGGAATGGTGGTAGTGGTAGTGGTAATAGTGTGCCGTGGAGTTGGTTCTGACTCAGAGCGACCCCGCATTGGGTTTCCAAGGCTTTAAATCTTTATGCGAGCAGACAGTGCCATCTTTCTCCCACAGAAAGACCGATAGTTTCGAACTGCTGATCTCAAGGTTAGCAGCCAGACTCATAACCACTTTGCTGCTACCAGAGCTCCTTAAACTGGAATAGCTTCCCTCTGGTAGCGTAGTGGTTACGAGTCGGGCTGTGAACCTCAGAGTCAGCAGTTCGAAACTACCAGCTGTTCCGCAGGAGAAAG